TAGAATACGATAGGGGATATATTCACACGTTATATAAACGAAAATGATGGTGTATAAAATTGATTTTAAAATAGAAAATTAGACGACAAAGAATTAACTTGACGGAGCTCAAACTCAAAACACACGGTAGCAACAAACAGGACTATTTGAGTGGACGATTTCTTTCCTTGTTACGTTACTTTTGAGTTACTTTGTAAATCTGGGCAGGGCTTGCTTGTTTGTTTTGAATATAAAAAGTACTCCTTTTACAAATATAAAAGCGCTTTCACAACAAAAGTGAAATTAATACGCCTCAGGCTGAAGGAAATGTAAATTCTCGTCTGTACAGTAGAGGGCGCAGCATGAAGAGTCTGACGCAGGAGAAGAAAGTTCAACACTATTCAGCAATAACTAAAAAGAAACACAAATGTGTCATTTTTGCTTATTAGTATGATTAAAATAGATCATCGAATGTCAGTAGCAAAGACATTGGTTAATAAAATGTGATTAAATACATAAATGATTGATTTATTTAACATATTTAATTATTGCAGGTTTGTATAATATTCTGAGTTTGCATTTGACTGTTTTTATTGATTTTGAGGAATACTGAATCTGTTTTTGAGTAAACACATGTTCATATTTAGTCTAGAAGATCATGTTCACATACAACGCTCTGCACTTTCTCCTGATTTCTGTCACCATGGCAACATCAGAGCTGTCAGTCAATACATGGAAACAAAGTAACTGGAGTTACTTATTTGAAAAAGTAACTCAGATATTTCCTTCTAAATTAAAAAGTAATGCGTTACTTTACTAGTTACTTAAAAAAAAGTAATCTGATTACGTAACTCGCGTTACTTGTAATGAGTTACCCCCAACACTGGTCAAGAGTGAAACATGATAAAGTGCTCGATTAAACACATTCATTCATTCATTTATTTATTTATTTTTTTTTACATTTACATTTACATCATTTAACACCTTTATCCAAAACGACTTACACGTGAGGAATATGAGCAATTCATCATTAAGAGGCAATAAACACAAGAAGTGCTAGAAATACAAAATTTCAGACATTGATTAGAATAGTATAAGCTAAAACAGGAAGAGATTAAATAATAGTTAAGAAATAGCTAGCTATAATAGTTAAGTATATATAGCCTATACTATAATGATCTATGCTGGCTCACACGTGTGAGTCATAGCATTACCCGAAACCAGTTTAACATAATTAAATGTTTTCATTTCTCATAATGAATCATCCAGTTGGATCCATGTACAGGTCAGCCCTTGAATGCTGTTAGCATTTTAATGGATTTTTAGGTTTAATTTTTAATTCTTCTTCTTCTTTCAGATGAATCACAGTCAGGGCTAAACTTTTAATAAAGTAAGTAAGCAAGCAAATACTGTCTTCATGAGACAACAAACATTGAAACAGACAATGCTGGCCCTTGAAAGCATGTCAGGTTTTTTGTAGGAATAATTTTAGGTCTAACACTTCACTAATCCCCCCTCCACCCGATTGATTGATTGATTGATTGATTGAATAAATGGGAAATAAACATCTTTGGCTAAAAAACAATAACATAGTTTTACAGCAAGTTGAGCAAATGTTACTATTTCTATAAGACAACAGACCAACATTTAAAGCGCACAGTATAGGTACTGAATTGCACTCATATGATATCTTTTTTTCTTCAGATCTATCACAGTCAAGGCTAAACTTTCATTCATTCATTCATTCATTCATTATTTTTGATAAGGTAAATAAATGGTAAATAAACATATTTGGCTAAATAAAACACAGTTTTGCAACAAATTGAGCAAATGTTAATATTTCCATAAGACAACAGATTGACATTTAAAGCATACATATAGGTTTAAAGTTGTATTCATTGTACCTTTTTTTCTTTGGATGTATGACAGTCAAGGCTTAACTTTCAATTATTTATTTATTTACTTATTGTTACATTTTTTTGTAATGTTAAAAAAATGTTACATAAACATTTTTTGTCTAACACAGTTTTACAGTATGGTTAATGTTTCTATTAGACAACAGGCCAATGTTAATGGATATTTAAAGGTTTAACGTTGCACTCCTGTGGTACCTTTTTTTTTTCAGATGTTTATTTCAAAACTTTAGTCCCACAATTATTTCTTCTCTTTCCATAAGACAAAGAGACATTGAAACAGACAACGATGTCCCTTGAATGCTGGCCAGTGTTTTTAGGGATATTTTCAGGTGTAACGTTGCACTCATATAATACTTTATCTCATTTTTACATATGCGTCACAGTCAGGGCTAAACTTTTCATGATTTTACTGCTTCTCATGTTTTGAGGATTCACCATATATTATGCCATCAACACATGGAGTGCCCGCTCTGCTTACAGTCATTTGCTATGGCACATTTTTGTCCCACCACGAAACACGATGCTTGTTTCCCCGGCCCACCCTGCAAACCACCCTCTGACACATTAGAGCCGTCTAGCACGCACTGCAGCAGTAACAGCAAAGTAAAACAGTAATCCAACTAATTTGAAACATTTGAGGGTGATTTACAGGCAAAGCTGTGAAATATGACTTTAATAATGATTACAAATGGCTCCACTGCTGTCTGTCTGAGAAACGCAGAAGAGCTCGAGAGCTTATGAAAAAGGCGTCCCATTTGGCATATTTCTGGCAGCGCATTTGTTATCAATGAAATGTGAAAATGACTGTGGTGTGGCTGTTATGGTTATTGCAGACTGAACTGCTGATGAAGTTGCTGTCCTGTGGTTCTGTTGTAACTGAGCTGAAGGTACTTTCATGTGTCAGACTGTGGGATGTGTGTGGTGCCAGTGGGCTGACTGGATTGGTGCTGCCCTACATTTACGAGCCAGCTTGTTTGTTTCAGTACTTCATAACAGTGTGATTTTACTGTTGACAATTTGCGTCAATAAGGTATTTAGCTATATTTAGAACTTTTTACTGTTTTGACAGACTGAAAAAAACATCAGAATACTGATCCCAGATGGAAAACATTTTTTATTAAAAAACAGCGACTTAATTATATCGGCTGAACTTGTTCAAAAATTGTGCCCAGAACATTGATGGAACGTTTTTCAAACTACTGTGTGACCTTCAGGGTCATTACACTCACTTCAGAAGTCATTACACCTCAAAAGCTACTTGACGCTCGTTCAGTTCTCTGGCTTGCTTCTCATGTTTTATGCACATGCCTCGTATGACCCATAGGTGATTGGCACGCCACGTCTGACACCAATAATATGCATAAGGTAACAGAACAAAATGGGATCAAACACAGGAGCCCTCATAGTACATCACCACACAAACCATTCATACACTGCAAAAAATGATTAATCAAAGCTGTAAATAAAACAAAAGGGCTTTTCACACTGTGATTAACCCTGGGTTATCGTTGTTCTAAACCCAGATTTTAACCCCGGGTAAAGGTACGCTTCACACTTGCAGTGTTGGGAAGGTTACTGGAGATGTAATACGTAAGTTACAGATTACAAGTTACTATTTAAAATGTAATAACTAGTGTAACTATTTCAGTTACTTTATTAAAGTAATGTAACTGATTACTTTGCTCAATTTATAATGTTTTCCATTGTTAATCATTTTCAAACATTTAAAGCAGCAGGGTTAACCTTACAGTAGGACTCAACACTGATTACTGTCAGACTTTCATAATCCTTCATCACTTGAATTAAGATTATAATAATTTCATTTTAAAGCACAGTCAGCACAAAATCAGACTTTAGCACCTCTTTTTACTTTGAGGTCATTCTGAGGTTAAATACAGATTTAAAACCATGACAAGAAATAGTTTAATAGTTATGGTACTGTTTTTTAAATCAAATCTTTGCATAGCTATGACAGGAAACACTGGCATCTAACAATGCCTTGGGAAAAAACAGTTAATCTTAAACAATAAAGCAAATACATAAACCCAAATAGAAAATAAAACAGTTATCGAATAAGCATGTGTCCTGTCTATAAAGATTTTAGTCCTGTCCATCCATTGCTATGGCACAAAGAGCGCTCACTCAACTTAGTTTATCTCGATCTCACAAAGTTACATTATAATGAATCTCTTATTTACAATGAATCTCTTACATCGGGTCTACACTTGGTTCTAATGAGATGATTTGTGCAACACAACACCTGAACAAAAACTCCAAATTTGAGCTCGATGAGTGGATTCTAACTTAAACGCCTCTGATTGGCTGTTGGGCTCAAGAAATCAACAGATATGTCTGTGATTGGCTACATTACTCAACGCTGCAAAAACACATTGAAATAGAAACCGATCTCCAGAGCGCAAACCATAACGCACTGTTTGCCAAATGTTTAACTGAGGGTGCTATTGATTTCGTTTGAGGGTGCTTAGCACCCTCTAGCACCCCCATAGAACCGGGCCTGCTGTTACTGATA